CTCATAATAACCTTATTATTGTACAACTTTTCCTCCCAGGAATACATCATGGGAATGCAGTAATCCAAAACTTTTAGAACAGATTCAGCAAACTTTTTTGTGTGGGGGTCCAGTCAAACCCTGTGTAATCGTCCCATATTTGGAATTCGCATTTCCTAATGTGGTAGGATGAAAATACTCAGTGCATTACCGCAAAATTACAGCATGCTGTAACTTATAGCGTTACGGTGACAGATGTATAATAATAATTATTCCCATAAACTTAAAGCCAAAAATGGAGGTTGTGATTGGGGAAATCTGACATTTGTGCATGTTTGGAATTTCATTTATTTATGTGTACTTCTATTGGTGAGCCTCTGATTTAAATTAAATATCATAAACTGTTCCACTATTTGTACAAAGTTTAGCGTTAAATTTGTGCTTTATTTTTCTTTCAGAACCACATGAACCTGGATCAGTGTCGTGTTAATCGATAAACCCTACTGTGTAAGGATGCTACTATGGATGCCATCTGAAGACCAAGAAGGCATAAATGTGTGATGAATGCGTATGACAGAGAGAGAGTGTGTGTGAGAACTCATCAACAAAACTCATTAAATCAATGTACAACTTTATCCAAGAAGCAATGTGGCTGTTGCAAACCCGATTTAGTCGTTATTAAAAAAAAATTGACATATTTACAAAATGGGCAGTTGTTGAATTAGGCCATGAATTCCTTTGATGTACAACTGTATGTGTGACAGCAACGCTGCTTGGATAGCAGTTCATATCTTATTAGCAGTGTCTTGGGAACTCCAAAAAAACTGCTAGTAATACCATCCTTCATTGTGTGGACGAATGCAAGAGTGAAAATTTCAGAAACCTAGTTTTTTTTTTTAGTTCTTTTTGTGTTGCCTTTCTTTCGTTCACGAAGGTGGCTCAATACTTGATCTGTTGTACTACAGGTCATGGTTCAGAGGTCAAAGATCGCAAAGCTGGTTGCACAAGCTTCACGAGTGATGTAAATAAAACCATTTTGCATTAAAGGTGCACACAATGATAAATGCAACTTTCCTGATATAATTCATTCCAAAAAATTGGCAGAAAATCTACTTGCTGTGAAAATGTCTCTTCCACCTCAAGAAAAAAAAAAAAAAATTGTACATTATTCTGAGCCTCCCTTTGCAAGGTATTGTGTATAGTATCGTGAAGGCTGTGGACTCGTGATCTCTGAATCATTATAGTTGTGTATAGTCGGCATAACGTCATTGAAACTGTTCGCTGGATGAGGACGCAGGATTATCAATTGATTTGTAATTTTAAAAATAACATGATTTCATTGGTTTATTTCACTGTGCTCATTCTTTCAATTCCCTTGAATGTGCTCTTAAAATAAGCAAATGCACCAGGCTGGTTGTTGGACAATGCCCGTCAGTATAATGACAGTATCGATGGCATGTATTTGACTTGCAAGATTAAACCAGTTTCCAATAGATTAGCTGTCAATCTTACTACTTGCACTGATCCCCAAAATGTAATTGGTTGATTGAATTGCACTGTTCAGACTCTCACAGCACATTCTATGTGCTGAAAGAGTATAAACTTGGTTGTATTATTTCATCCAAATATTTCCGTATTTGGGTCAACACATCGTCTGCTGAACCCCTCCATGGATAAACCAAAATCTACTTTCGGGATCTTTTTCTAAATATTGCCGTACATGAAACCTATTAATGCCATATTTGGATATCAAGTATGCTAATGATTACTTGATGACCATATATGGTAGCTAGTTCTTTTTCATACAGTATATTGGCTAGCTTTACAAATGGAATATGCTAATTTACTTGACAATCCAATATGGCATCAATATGCAAATGACTGCCATAAATGGTATTGATATGCAAATGATTGCCATATATGGCAGTCATATGCAAATGAACATTTTGACCATATATGGCATCAATAGGCTAATGATTACCTTGTATGCTAATGCATTTATATCATGCATGGCAACAAAATGCCTAATACCAAATACAACATCAGTATGCATACAAGTTTTGCATTATAACCATGCATCAGCTTGTGAAAATGGCCAATCGTCACTTATTTTAGAACAGAGGCACGAGTTGTCTGCTGATACAAGTTAGTTGCGTAGTTCCCTCTAATTGTTGCTAATTGGTGCAATTACAGGTACTGAATATTGCAGTGTGTAGGGGTATTTTACTGGCGTTTTTAAACCTTGTCATGTATAGTATTGAATGACTAGTTGAGTCTTGAATAAACCTTAATTCCGCTGGATTTTTGACAACTTCATGAAAAAAAAAACTTCATCTTGAATAAGCTGTTACATAATGTGAAAAAGCACATTAGAAAAGACCTAAACCAAATTAAAGGCAGAATTAATGTTTATTTGTGGTATTGAACCTAATCCCACAATCACTAGGTTTGGTTTCTCTTGTTGCTAGGACACCATATGGGATAATGTTTATTTTGTACTATCACAGGGTTAAACTGCTATAGAACTTGGTTCAAACTATGAAAAAGAAATGTGTCCACTTATAATTAATTTGCTGATCATAAATTCCATCATTCAACTTGAGAGAATTTTTAATCAGGTTTTCAATAGCTGCTATTCAAGGTAGTTGTTTTAGTGACATCCTCTTGTAAATCTCAACTCTAAAATTGATTTCACTCTTCAACTCTGTAAATTGAGACAATGCAAAAATTACTCCCAGGCAGCTGACTGTAAACCTGACTCGTATTGCAGCTGATAATGAAATGTAATGTATTACGCCATATACATAACCCAATGACTCTTCTACAGTAATAGTTGTGCGAGAATTTGTCACTAATTATTAGCTTGGTGCTTTCCAAGGTCTGCAAGATCTACAAAACTAAGATGGTTGCGTTATTGTACTTGCCATGCAATACTTTTTTCAGATGTCTGAAAGTAGGTTGCCTTCACATTGAACCATTCTGGTTGAATTTAGAATTTCGCCCCCCACTGGTATCTTTGCACCTTTCTGAAGTTTTGGCATGCATGATAATCTATGATTGCCTTCTGACCAGCACAAGTCACACAATGCAATTCAGTTGATCAGTGTGGTGTTCATTGATCTTGGGCATTTTTTGCTCACCTTGGAAGGCACATAGATTCTTGACTAACCCGTAATCCGATTGCCAGGACTACTGGCAGAAAACCAATGTACTTTGCCATCCACCACCCCCCAACCAACCTGGTGTATTTCTGTATACCGTATGTTGAACACAACATGCTGACTGGAACTTTTCATCATCTTCCATGGGAAATCCACAAAAATCGAAAAAAGTAATATTCTAAACATTTCAGGAATTGCCACCACATCAAAAGACTATGCATGTCATGTACCGGTATTTAAATTTGTTTAGCTTGCCAGTTCGTAGAAGGTATTAATACCCAAAGAATAATTTGTGTAACGCGCACACACCTGCATCTTGATTTGTCAGTCTCGACCTTATTCTGAAATACTTTGGCAAGTTTCACTTGCCAATTTACTAATGTCACATGTTCATATAAATTATAACCTGATTAGCTATAAAGTCCTTAAATTTGTTACTTAATGGTTTGGATAACTTGTGGCTAAAGCCAAATCTGGATGTTTTACTGATTGGTAACAACTATTGCATTTCAATGTGCCGATATATTTTTTTTGTTGTGGGGCAATTCTGAGGTGTATGCACACTGATGTAAAAAAAAAAAAGAAAAAATTCTCTGGGAGATGGTGTTGCACTTTGTATCAATAAATTGACACTTTGTTTCATACATATAAAACTGTTTTGTGCTTTTTTTGTTTTATGAAGGACATGCCAGACTTTAGTAAACTCCTTTTTCAGATCTGGTTCATTGGTTGACTAGCAATTTTGTTTTAATGAATGCTGTTCCGAAGCTGCACATTGTGGTGCTTGTATTTATTAGTTTGATTAACCGATTCAAGAGAGCCATTTTAATGTCAAACTAGCAGCCTGTGGGTTGATATAGCATCACTGTATATCCAGTAGTTGGTTAAAAAAAAATGGAATTGTTCACAAAATTGTCACAGAATGCAAAAATTGATTTTTTTTTACCAAAAATGAAAAAATTATTCACTAAATTAGAAATGCAAAGTGAACAAATTTACATGTGTAGAAAGTATGAAACTTGTACAGCTGACTAAGAAGTCGAAAATGTAGACTAGTAAGTGAATTTTGCTATGTGTGATCCAAGACCGTTTATGGAGGTGCTAAAAATGTCACCAACAGAAGTGAACTTGCCCTAATCACCTATCTTCACAGGCCAAGTTTATTCGGCCAAGCCCCTAAATAGACCTTGGCAGAATGACCATCAAATATGCGTATTCTAACAGCGCCCCCAGTAGTCAGTTGCAGCTTATCATTGTCCAATCAGTTTGTGTGTTACAAATCCTTTGGCGTTTCATTTTAAACAAAATGGCGGCGCCCATGAATAGTGATATGTGATAAAATTGCGAAAATTTTTGGTGTTGGTGCCCTTAAGCCTCATCAGGTACAGGCAATCAACGCAGTTTTGTGTGGGAAGGATGTCTTCATAGCGACAAAAACAGGAAGTGGAATTTTGTTTTATAATTTGGTACGTCCAAACTACGGTAATCTCTCTGCTTAATATATGCGATCCCGCACGGTATCGTGTAGAGGCCCATAGGTCGAAGACACGGGATCGTGCGTTTCGAGCGATGCAATCACCTGGCAGCTAATGTTCATCTCTATTTCATCCATTCAAAGACTGACCAAGTGCTGATTATAAACTAAGTTGTGTATAAACAGATTTTCGTTCAAACCTCGAATGTACCTTTCACGCATTAATGGACAATACAAGTCCCTGTTGCCCAATCTTGACTTTGATGGCACAGTTTAGATTTCCAATTTTCATGGATAAAGCAGTTTTTTCAAAATATTCATTTATTAATAGGTTATTTTGATTATTCTTGAGTTACATACAATTTAAACAAGAATTGAATAGTTACCATATGCAAATTATCTTGGTAATCACTATAGTGCGTCACTTACAGTACGTCTTCGGTGAAATGGTGCCATCAAGTCTAGAACTAAGAAAAATCCATCTTGAAAGTTTCTGTTCCTACTTGTATTTTATATTTTATTATAGGCTAAACAGACTATTAATTGATGACTTCCATTTGCTCAGCAAATCCTGGGGAATGAAAGAATAATCTTTGCCACTGTATCTCTCTACTAATCAAATCTATGCAGTTTACATGTAGTTTAATGTCTCTCATAGGTCAGAATGATATCCCTACAGGTCTTAATGTCAGAGAGGCTGATGGGACTCAAAACATACATGCAAGTCCCTGTTTTGGACTACAGACTAATAATACATATGATCGTAAGATTGTTTATCAGATATACTCATTGATTTTGAGGCTGCGACCATTACAACTAATGCACAAGTTGTTTGATTTAGGTGGTTGGGGGTTGAAGTTAATTTCATACTAGTTATGAATGACTTGCATTTCTCATTCTTTAACGAACGACTGCCCTTAATATAAACTAGCTAAATGGCAAGAGATTTCAAAGATATTTTCTACTTTGATGACATATGTTCAACATTACATGAATGTGAAGTTCTCATACTCTGGCTTTATCTGTCTGCGAATGTCACTCGCGTACAAAGTACAGTAGGTGTGGGCCTCAAACTAAACAGCTATGTAAAAGATTTATGTGAAATTATTTCAGTTATACAGTCTTCAGTACCTGTGGACCACCCAATTCCTCATCAAGACTACACTTTTTGGTAACAGAACACATGTAATAAATACTGACCTCATGGGAAAGGCATATATAGTTTCACTATGTTTATTACAAAAACTGCACGACACCAATCTCGTAATTTCCATGTATGATAGATTTCATTTCTCACATAATAGGGGTCATAGGTCATTCATTACTTTTGTCCTCTTGGCTTTGCTGTTTTGCATACTGCTGCAAATTGGCTGTCAATTGCTGCTGGTTGGCCTGCAGTAATGAGCTGACTTTCATTGCTGGTGTTGATAATATACTAACTAATTGTCCTTGTAATACTGCTAGTGATGACAGCTTTGAGTAGTCTACCATGTGATTCACAGACATCAGCTTATTTTCAACTTTCCCCCCTGAAAAAGTGAAGTTAGAAAATTAATTCAAACTGATACATTCAAAATGGATACAGTACTCAGAGTAAGGCAAAACAAAATAAAATTGTTTTGTTGCCCTCAGCGACCGACCGAAAAATATGAAATATCAGGTCGCGTTTTATTTTTTAATAGGCCCAAATATTAAAAACTCACCATTTTAAGCAGTAAAAAAGTGTTTCCTCTAAAAATTAACGATCCCGAACCGTTGTTTGATCCAGGGTCCTGGGGGGATAAGTGGTGATTTTGGTGTTTGATTGATTCCCATATACCTTGGCTATTTATGATACCCTTGGTTTACGAGTTTGAAAGAAGAAAAGAAAAAAAAAATCCGACCGACGGACCCAATTTTTCAATTTTCTGACTTGAGGGCAACATAAGTTTTTTTTGTTTTGTTTTTTTGGCATAATGGCGAATCTGTGCTGATTGATGAATCTTGAAATACACTTCAAAATCGTTAACAGATCAAATATCAACACAAGAATGGGAAGCTTAAATGACCAACATTTTCAAAAATGGAAGTTAGTTCATATTTCTTCCAGCTTGTGCCGATTCAAATTTGAGAACCTTGCTTTTAATGCAAATAATCACTCTACTTGCCTGAAACATAATTCGAAAGAGCTCATCATGATTACCATTCTCTAAATTCATAACGAATAGCTCCACTAATCACAGCCATTTTTAAAGTGTGGTGTCAGAGTGAATCTTTATTGGAGGTATCAAGTTTTGCTGAAGAAATAAAAAAAAATCACTACTCACCTAGGAGGATTATTTTTGGTGTGTTTTTCACTGTTTTTAGTAATTCTTTGACCTTAGGTTCTTTACATACGGCATATAAATTGCGTCCCACAAACAATGGTTGCATATTCTGGAATTCACTGTTCTCTACTGTTTCACACATGACAAGATTAGGGAAACGCACAAGTTCAATTCCTTGTTTACGAAGTTTTCTCCAGAGTACAGTGTATTCGAATGCCTTGACACCCGAGTTGTGTAGAACTGCTACTAATTGGTTACTTTTCAATGTTGCCTTGGCTTCCCTCTTTAGTAACTCTTTCCACGGGTTCACCTATGAACCGAAAAACATAAATGTTGTACAAATAGGACACTATTGAGGTATACTGTATTTGTTCTATTAGAAGCATGTGTCTAGTAGTAGAATATAAAAATCAAAGAAAGCTTAGAAAGAACTCCCATGTGCTGAGAGTATTGGAGACACATTAAATATAATTCGAAATTACTTAGCTGAAAACTAATTATGCAAATCAGAAAATTAATATGACCAGATTTGAGTGTAAAACTAATGAGGTCTGCGCAATGTAACAGAAAATCTATGTCTCCAAGTTTAATTGAAATGTGATTAGAACCAAAAAATTATGAATTATTATGCTTATTAGGGAATTAATATGAACAGATTTTTACCCCAAACTAATTAGGTTTGTACATTGTCCTAGAGCATCTTTATACTAAGTTTCATTGAAATGGAATAATTAGTACCGTGAAAACTCCAAAATTTCGACCCCTCTAAAAATTCGATCGCCTATTTATTTGCCGGGTTTTGGTGTTTATTTACCTCCAAATTTTCGATTCACTAAAAATTGCGACTCATCTATCGAAATGCGA